GAGAGCACAAGCCAGAAATACCCCTAGTTGTTTGACATGAAATTATGGGGTATTACTGGGTTTAGTATTGTTCATTGTTATGTTCCAAGTTTGCATATTTGGTGATATATAGCATATTTCATAAAGTAATTTAGTGAGAAACCCCACTTAGTGCTTATTGATAGTAAAATATAGATTGTTAAGTGTAGCAATCTTGAATACAGCACTGGAATTCTATGTGCATATACTAGTCATCGCCGTCACTCCTCCAATAAACAATCACCCTGGGTAATTGAATTAGGTCTTTAAGAGTTATTTGGCCAAATCAATGTAAAAGGACATGTGGCTGATATGATTAGGGTTAAAATTGTGGTGCAAAACATGTTCTATTAGGGGAAAAAAGCACTGAATAATTCTCACTTTCACTAATGGTCATCATTGTTGGTGTTCCTCCCAAAATAACATCTTCGTAACATCTTTGACATATAGAAGATAATATTTGGTAATCGTAGTCCTAAATAACTATTAAAAATAGCTAGACGTTTCGAGCAATGGCTCTTTATCGATAGCATAGAAGAAAATGTTAAAACATACAGGTAGAACATAGGAACGTAAGAACGTGCATGAACTATAAATTAGAATCACAAAAAATTCCACAATAGAACAAATAACGCGCCTTAGGTAGTAAGCTCAACAAATGAGTTGAACTGTTTGTTAATTCCATGGGATTCTTTAGTTCGAAGGCGGAATATAGTTTCCTCCTCGTCACGCCTGAGCTGATTTTCGTTGCCATTGACAACACATACACCGAAATAGACATATCTGTAATGTTATGTCCACTAGAATTAAAATGAAGTGAAACCGGATAATAGAAGACCCTAATAACAAGAGGGTGCCCATTTTCAAGGGCAAAATTGATAAAATGACCTTAGTATATAGGAATAAAATGGGAAATATCAAGCAATTGCTTTTGATTCCTCTGTGAAGTTCAAGCCCTGCAATATTGGTCCACTCAGGCACTGCACCGATCTTGTGCATTCAGCATCCTTGACTGCTGATCACATACTGTGAACCAGTATAATTTCATGAGTCGCTTAAAATCACTAAATTTTATAGAATAGATTGACTAAGATTTTGATTTGCCTGTGGTGCTTGTTAGCCATGGGCTCTGTGGCAACATAAGCATAGCAGACTTTGGAATCTGTAAGGCTATATGTGATGTGTTCCTAGTTTCGGACAAACAAAGGCCATAGGGAGTTCACAGTATGTGAGTGGGTTCATCTGTACAGATAGTACAGATGTACTTTATTTAAATATTATTACATGTATTCTATATTGTATTTTAGTTTCTACTTAGTTTTAATATATTACCAGTAGTTTTGAAAATCTGATCTCCAGTGATACTATCTTACAGTACTGTATCGGATCAAACCATTTGCCAAATGATAATCGGATCAAACCATTTGCCAAGTGTAAACTTCACAGCTTGACCTGCACAGTCAATGAACTAAAAAGAGGTGCTATGCGTGAAACATAGGCTTTGATATTGTTCTGATCAAACTTCATATTAAACACTCTTAGTTTTAGTTGCACTCTACCACTTTTGGCCCAACTTTAGCTGTGGAAACTGTCAATTACACAATGTACCAAGGTAACAACTGTGAGATGATAACATGTTCTCAAGGGCAATCCCCATACTGTAATTAAAGCTCTCCATTCCAAGTAAACAGATACACACAAGTAACTGTGTTGATTGTTGCATTACTAATAATGACATTGATCAGCAGCAGCTTCTTAGTCAGTCCTTGTTGAAACCTTGAGCAGTTAAATGGCTTAAGTATATGACTCTTGTAAGATGACACTGCATGCTATACAGTCATCAAAAGCTCGAAAGACTACAGATTAAACATGTACTTTATATGAAGGCTTTCGGATCTTTCCCAGTACATTTATCTATACTGAACTACCTGTACTTGTTGTCTGCTACTGTATTGATCTCCAGATGTGAGCTTGCCATATTAACTTTATTCAACTGTGCACAGAGATAGCTTTCTCCGCATCTCCATTGTGTAGAACTACAATTTTACTACTATATACACCATGGGCTTGACTGTAACTATTTGATCATGATGAAATTTGACATTGACACTATGTTGTCACCTTGATTACCCTTTTAGGCTGAGAGTGTATGCATTCATTTAGGCATAACTTGGGTATGGTGTATTTCAGAACAATTTTATTAGTCCCCGTTCGGACGCAGTCCGAAAACGGAACTTATGTTTTGACCCTTGTGCGTCCGTGCGTGCGTGCATGCGTCCTGTAACTTAGAAATGCCTGGACGAATCATAATCAAACTTCACACATAAATCATCAAATATCAAGCATTTATGGATGGATTTCTTTCAAACTTAGTACATACATTAGACATTACGGGTTCCTGATGCACATCATTTTATTTTTCAGATCAGATTCAAAATGGTTGACTGGCGGCCATTTTGTTTTAATGATTGGGCTTTTAGAGCCATATCTCTGACATGCTTTGACTGATTATGTTCAAATTTTATATATTCGTTGTACATCATGTTATAGATATATACATGTATTCAAAATGGCTCATTTTGTTTTATTTAATGCTGTTCCAGAGCAATATGGACAAGTACTTGTTTGACGATCAGATACAAATGTCAATCATTTTAATGTAACAATCATCATAATGGTTATCATGGTTATATTCCAGCTATATTTCTGTAAACAAAACTATATATCTTAAATTTGATAACTAACGGGGACTGTGCCATGCATGGCTTGTTATCAAAATTTTGTATGAAGATAGTGGATGCAGTAAATGTGAATGATAATAAGGAGAATAATAGTGGCAGTGATAGCGATACATAAATTGAATTTAATCATGGTTAGAATGTGAAAATGTGGTATGGTGCAAATTTTATCTCAATACCATGTAGTTGGTTATTGTAATAACAAGCTAATGGGAAGCTCTTAAGAGTAGATTGGATGCCAGTGAGAAAAATAGATTTGCCTTGGAGAATGATAGAAGATATTTGGAATAGAAACTGCTAGAATTAGAAAGGGTGGTTGAAAAACAGAAAATTCCATGTGGGAGGCTTAAATGTCACTGGCGTGATTGGAATGGACCATTTAGTAAAACGGGTGTGTCACCAGTTAGCAGATTCACAAACTGAAAGCCCTAGATACATGTACAGAGGGGCCCTAAACATTCATAAACTAAATGGGGATAAAACAAGACAAGAAGGAGAGTCTGCTATGTATAATGTAACCAATAGAACATTGTTAAGCTTATAAAACAAATCAAATAAAGTCTATAACTATGGTATGATCAACATTATAGCATTTCTTAGAAACATTAAATCTACTGTAAACCTGACAAAATTTCACAAGTCAGTAAATATCAAGAAATTTTGTAGTTGTGAAAATTTCTCAGGGTTCCTATATACAGTGTCGGTGACTTTTGCAAATTTTACTATACGAATATTATGAAATGCTGATATTGCAAAATTTCTAGCAGTGATAATTAAGCGTTTTACAGTACTTTGCTCTTAATTATAGTATTGACATAATAGCTTGCATGTGCCTATGGAAAACTTTTTGCTGTTTGTATTACCGTAAAATCTGTATTAGAAGCCG